TCTATCTATCTATCTATCTATCTATCTATCTATCTATCTATCATCTATCTATCTATCTATCTATCATCTTTCTATCTATCTATCATCTATCTATCTATCTATCTATCTATCTATCATCTATCTATCTATCTATCTATCTATCTATCTATCATCTATCTATCTATCTATCTATCTATCTATCTATCTATCTATCTATCTATCTATCTATCTATCTATCTATCTATCTATCTATCTATCTATCTATCTATCTATCATCTATCTATCATCTATCTATCTATCATCTATCTATCATCTATCTATCGATCTATCTATCTATCTATCTATCTATCTATCTATCTATCTATCTATCTATCTATCTATCATCTATCTATCTATCATCTATCTATCTATCTATCTATCTATCTATCTATCTATCTATCTATCTATCTATCTATCTATCTATCTATCTATCTATCTATCTATCTATCTATCTATCTATCATCTATCTATCTATCTATCTATCTATCTATCTATCTATCTATCTATCTATCTATCTATCTATCTATCTATCTATCATCTATCTATCTATCTATCTATCTATCTATCTATCTATCTACCTATCTATCTATCTATCTATCTATCTATCTATCTATCTATCTATCTATCTATCTATCTATCTATCTATCTATCTATCTATCTATCTATCGGTCTGTCTGTCCATCTAGAACACGGTTATGTTTTATTGTGTGAGTAAAAAATGACATAGTTAAGGATCTAAATGCTAGCCCTAACTCCAAAGGAGACATGGTGTCATTTCTGGATTTAGATTATAAAGAAACATTTGGGTAATACTTTACAATAAGGGTCCCTTTTTAAGGCTACTTGGTGCATTATAAAGCATAAAAAACGCTGATAAATAAAGGATTAGCTATGCCTAATATTAATGTTAATATTAAATAATGCATTACTAATCTTAAAGCAAGAGTTCATCAGGATCAACAGGTCATTTGTCCTAACCTAAGGACACTTAATAGTTAACAATATTGGGAATATTACAGTTTTTCTCCATTGGTTTGGCTCATTTCTTGAAACAGAAATTTCATTCTCAAACCTCTAAGATCCTTGGGCAAAACACTCTTACAGCTTAGCACAACCCTATAGCTCACTTGCAAAAGCTCATATCTCTTCCAAGACTGTTCACTCAGGCTTCAGTCTAAATCCCTTTCTCATTTAAACAGTCAGTGTCTCCAAAATGGCAAAGATCCTTCTCATTAGCTTTGGCTCATTTCTCGACACAGATCGGACATTCTCATCGTTCTTGGTCCTTTTGTCAAAATAAACCTGGATGGTTGATCACAACAACATGGTTTACCTGCAAAAGCTCATATCTCTCCTAAAACAGTTCACTCATGTGTTAAAACTACATTTCCTTCTAATCTGAACAGTCAGTGCCCCCAAAATGCAACGTCCCTTTGGCATTGTGTGAGTACTACCATACAAAATGTTTAGATGTTCTGACACTATGGCAAAGGACCAACAATATACAACCCAAAAGAGTAGCCTCCAAGGTTTGACATCACAGACTGCACTCTCACTACCAAGGAAATTTTAACCATTTTTTATTCACACGCAAAGAAAGTTTCATACGTATGTAAAAAGAAAAAGTACATTACAGTAATACAGTGAATTGTTTGAACACAATCAAAAAACAAGGACGTATTCAGTGGTCGCTGTACTCATTCTCCCGCTCTTGTCCACGGTCTTCACCCTCCTGAATATTTACACGCTGTTGTCCGTCTGGCCACAGATGCTCGTCCACATCACAGCGGATACTTTCTCTTGTCTGTTTGCTTGGCCTTGTCTATCCGTGTTCAGAGATCGGACTGGCGCTGGTCAAGCTCTATATATCTGTGTTTGGCAGCACACAACCATGGAAAACACCTGTGTGTGTGACACTCCCCGTTCGTTAGTCTAGTTTCACCTGACTGTCAATAACTGTCATCAATGTATCAAATATTCAAAGAAATTCATATATGGTATTATGCTCTTGACCAATTCTGACAACTGAACAGACAGTTGTGCATGCGAGTACTTATACAATGAAATCATGCTGACATGTTTTGGAGAGAATGATCGTTAGAATGAGAATCAACTAATCAGTTTAGATCTAGAAGATCTATTCATTTGGAAAATGTGCTAAATGTGGGCTAACTGTATAACTGTAGGCTACATGTACTTAATCATTTGCAAAGATGCACTGAGACAATTGAGACATGTACTAAGGCATTTGCCATTTGATAAAATAAGTGAGAAATGCCATTCTGTTGTGAACATTTGCCAAGAGGTTTGGAGGTTTGTCCATGTTATTTTGCTAATGTAATTTCTGTTTCAAGAAATGAGCCAAACCAATGGAGAAAAATTGTAATAAAGGGATCCTTTGTTTATTACTGTAATACTGAATAATGCACTAAGGTTAGTGAAGTGACCACTGTAAAGTGTTAAACATTTTAGTAACCAGGGTCATTTTTACTTTAAAATCTAAGGAGGAAAGGCCTCATAACCTGGTTTTCTTTGAGTGAAAGTGAAAAGTTTTTTTTTATGTAAATGTTTTCAAATTTTATATCCATTCAGTAATTAGAGGTGAAAATGTGTTTAAATTTCACTTTCAGGTCCTAGATAGGACATTTAATTGGCCACATTTAAGATAGTATCAGACTGGGCCCTGAAATCAGTCCAATTTCAGAAAATAAACTATTTTTAAACAGAAAATGTATGAAAAGTTGAAAACGAATGAAAACTTCAAGAAAAACGCACCACAAGACAAAAAAGGAAGTAAATTTGTGTGTCTAATAGTCAGCGTGCACTCACGATAAACCAGATAAGAGATTTGCTTTTATTGTGTTTATTTCTGAGTGCCCTCACAGTGTGCATTGTGTGTGTTGTTTGTGTTTTATTCAGTGTGACAAAAAAACAGATGTTACATGAATGGCAGCATTGTTCCTCCAAGGGGCTGTGCTGAAAACCAGATGAAACACACAAACGTTACCCAACGCCGCGGCCTCATCCAGGCACATTCCTGCTATATTGCGAGCACTTTGTAGATGGAGCTGTGCGTTACCATGGAAACCAGCACAGCTCGAGCTCATGATATTCCCCCGGTGAACAGAGTGCACAAACGGCTTTGGCGTTTATTCCAGTGGTGGGAACGCTGATGGTGGCTGAGGATGGGATTGTGCAGGGTAAAGGGATTCTGATCTGATCTCAGGTCAGTCTGGAGGGCTGCAGGGGGGGGGACTCAGGGACCTGACTTAGTGAACAGGCAGGCTGCTATTTGTTTTAAATTTATAGTAAACAATCTAAAAAGTTTTGGATGGCATCAATAAGATGATTATTGCATATTTTAAAGATGTTCACCTTATTCTGTACTTCATTTTGCTGCACTGGAATTTCATGTTGTGCCATATTTGGGAAGTTTGCCCCCCCCCCAACACACACACACACACTTTTCAGTACGCACCGACAGGGGGCAGCAGCCCCAAACACTGACCGAGCAACTGTACAGCAACTGCAAATCCGTTCAAACCAATCAAAATGTACATTGACAACATGCTAACACAACTTTTACGAACGTGGTATTGTATATTCAGTAAGTCTTACGTTCAGCCAATCATCTACGTTATCGGCAGATGCAGGACCCCAAGCTTATCTGGCAGCCCTAGGAGATCCCTTACCGACAACAGCACTGTGCAGACAGACTAGAGGCAAAGATGAGCCCTTCTTTCCGCATTAGCCACCGATAGAGTAGACGGGGAAACACTAGGGTTAGAAAAAGCCACACAGATCTACATCCCACTGTAAATTAGCATTCATGAACTCACCAATCTTGGTTGTGAAAGACCAAGGCTGTTTTTGTTTTAGCATCCAGGAGAGAGTACAGCATGTCTCACTCCAATAGAAGTGACTCCTTCACATGGCAGAATTCTTTCAGGCTGGTGTTATTTGTGGAGATAAAACATCAACATTGCAGAGAAAATGGAGTCAGTGGTAAAGCCACATTGCTGTCAGCCAATCAGAGGCAAGATGTAAGAATATCAGGAAACAATTATGAGTAAGATTCCAAATTCTGCAATTCTGTGCTCCCCTCATCTTTGGCTAACTTCTACTTCCTGAAACAGGAGCGCCAGAGCTTTTTTACCTCAGAGATTGACTTACAAGTCATTAATTTATACTAGAGACCACTGCAAATGCATTGAAAAACTGATTATTATCTGCATAAAGATGATAGATGTCCTTAAAGATGACCATATAGGACCCAAAACAGAACCCTGTGGAACACCAAATGGTGGGTTGGGATCTGCCAGAAGAAACTGGTGATTTTCTAAGATTTTTATATATACTGTACACACACACACACACACATACAGCTTTGAAGCTGCTGAGATGGCGCTCCTGGATATTGTTGCTTTAAGCTGGAACCATGCTAAAAATAAATTTGTTTTAAGAAGGTCCTGTGCAACATAAGTTACAGTAAAATGAACAAAAATTCTGCTGTCCTGCAAAGTAAATTCAATAACAGAAAATTAAGTTCACCAGTTAGTAACCATCCATGGATCCACTCATTCCTAACCCTTTAAATCTCCACTCTTTCTTTTTGGAAGACATCAAGCCATTCCCAACCTGACCTGCAGCAATCTAATCGCTTTAGCAAGATCAGAGTTTGTTCTAAAACTGAGCATTCCGTTGAATAATCCAATCCTTCCAGATTCAGGATTAAATCTCATCCCTCATGTGTCATGCTTAGCTGTCCCAGTGTTGACTTAAATTCTCCACTCTTGTGATGCCAACAACAGTTAACCTGGGAACTGTGATCTGTTTCATAGTTATATTTGTACTTCTTGCACACATGTTAATCTTCTCCTGCACCAAACACCAGAACAAACTACTTGTCAGTGGAACGTCTGATTTAGGAATAAATCAGATCCTGATTCTCAATAATCCCTTCAATGTTTCCCATCTTGCAGGCTTGAATCCACCTAGAGCCCTCATGGAGCAGGATGTGGAGAGCCCAGCCGTCATCAGGAAGCCCAAGCTGCCGAAGCAGGTCCGAGAGGACCTGCCCAAACAGCTGTCAGAAACAGGCCGCGCCAAGAAGATCCAACGTTATGTCCAGAAAGACGGGAAGTGCAACGTCCATCATGGGAATGTCAGAGAGACCTATCGTTATCTGACGGACATTTTCACCACGTTGGTAGATCTCAAGTGGAGGTTTAACCTCTTCATCTTCGTGTTGGTGTACACGGTGACGTGGCTCTTCTTCGGCCTGATGTGGTGGCTAATCGCTTACCTCCGGGGGGACCTGGAGCATTTAGATAACGTAAATGATCCCTGGACTCCGTGCGTCAATAACCTCAACGGGTTTGTATCTGCGTTCCTGTTCTCCATTGAGACAGAAACCACCATTGGTTATGGATACAGAGTCATCACGGACAAGTGCCCCGAGGGGATCGTTCTGCTTCTAGTCCAGTCGGTGCTAGGATCTATCGTCAATGCCTTCATGGTGGGCTGCATGTTTGTTAAAATCTCGCAGCCCAAGAAACGTGCTGAGACACTAGTGTTTTCCACCAATGCCGTCATCTCCATGAGAGACGGGCGGCTGTGCCTGATGTTCAGAGTCGGAGACCTCCGAAACTCGCACATAGTCGAGGCTTCGATCAGAGCAAAGCTCATCAAGTCCAAGCAGACCAAGGAAGGGGAGTTCATTCCCCTTAACCAGACGGACATTAACGTGGGCTACAACACGGGAGATGACAGGCTTTTCCTCGTGTCGCCGCTCATCATCTGCCACGAGATAAACCAGCACAGCCCCTTCTGGGAGATCTCACAGGCCCACCTGGCCAAGGAGGAACTAGAGATCGTTGTGATCCTGGAGGGGATGGTGGAGGCCACAGGTGAGCTCTCACCAATATGTTGTAATGTTCACCTTGCAAGAAACTATAGGTGTGTAAGAAGAATGCTGGTCTGAGATCATTTTTACACACCTTATGCTGCATTTAAACTACAATTTCATGTAAACTGTCAGCAAGTCAACCTCTGTCATGACCGCCATTAGTCGCCAAAGTAAAACCAAATTAAATCCTAGGGTTTGTGGGGTTATATGGTTGCTTCATGCTGTGGCTGGTTATGCTGAAAGTTTTTATTTATTTATTTATTTTTACCTATTTATAACATTTACTTCCTTCTGCAATCCTCATCAACTAAATAATTATTATAATAATGAGAAGTGTTAAATTATTTTAATTGTGTTTCAAGAGCCACAAAATGTGATCTTTGTACAGTTTTGGGAGCTATAGACGCCACAGACAATTGTAAATTTATCCGACACAAACTCCGATAAGACTTTCATCATCCACAAAGATAAAAAAGCGAGAGACGAACAAAATATGTTTTGTAAAAGTCAAAAGTAACAGAGGATCTGCAGCTGGGAGCAGGACGACCACACATCTGGATCTCACCACATCAAAACCACATTTACGGCTTCAGATGAAAGAATCTTAAAATATCTGACGTGTGTTTTTAAGCTGATATGGAGATGATCAAGTACAATAAAAGGGTTACATAAGAATGGAATTTTGAAGCAGCTGCTGGAGCTTCACAGCGGATTCAGCTGTCTGCAGACAGCTGAATCCGCTGAGACGCTAATTAATGTCAAAATATCAAGTAAAGGCTGCTGGGAAGTGGTTAACAGTTTACCAACATCTGCAGATTCGAGACGGTGTTAGGGGCAGAAAGGTTCACCAGGGTGGAGACATTCTGGTCTAATCAGAGTGATGCATATGCAAAGTGTGAATAATAATCCATTCCTGATGCATTTTGCTGCTAAAAATGGGACATTTGTGTGTTTTATAGACCAGAGATCACAAGATTTTGGTCCAAACTACAGCAAAAATATGCGATTACTTGTAGGCAGCGCTTTAGAAGTGGACAGGGCTCTGCTTTGACCTAAATGCTAGCATCAGCGTGACAGCGCACTGACGGTGAGGTTGGAGAGGACTTTCACTCGATTCCCAGAGGAATGAAATCGTCACTTCCTACCAACTTTGAGCCAATTCTAGTTCTGCTGGCATCGTGCAAATGTGTTTATTTCTTCTTCATCTATTAAATCAGCACAAGTCAGCATCTGCTCCGGAATAAAACCTCAGCTGAGATCAATGTGACATTATCATACAGAGCACTAACTACTGCGTTTGTCAAAATAATTTAATTTAAATAATTTTCATTTTATAAATATTTTAAATATTATTATATACAAATTAATAAATTAATACATCATACTTTTATAAATGTGTGAAAACTGTTTGCAACTGACTGCTTAATAAAAAAGTATAATTAGTTACTAAAAACATTAATAAATTAAAAAAATACAAATTAACAATGGCAACAAACTTATTTGATTTATTAGATTTTTAAATATTTTTATTTATTTATAAATATATATTTTAATAAATATTGCATAATTTATATGAGTTAAACTATAATTACACATGAATAAAAATAAATCACTTAATAAAACTATGAATATATTTTATAAATATATAAATAAATAACATAAATTTAGACTCTGAGTCTGAGATCATTGGACTCAGTGGTCTCCTTTAAAAAGCAGCTGAAAACTCACCTGTTCAGGCTGGCTTTGGTGTGACTTCCTGATCATACTCTTCTTCTTCATTAGCTTCTTTTCATGCTTCTGTTTCTGTCAATTCTGTATTTTTTGGGATCCCATGGCTACCTTTTTCTTTTTTTTTTTTCTTTCTTCACATTTTCTTATGTATATTTTTGAAGAAAAATATAAAAGGAAACAGTCTTCCCTCGCCCAGAGCCCCGGAACCCCCGTCTGGAACCAGGCCCGGTGTTTCACCCATGAGGCCCAGCCAGGCACAGCCCGAAGAGGAGAGTTGGGTCCCCCTTTCCCATCGGGACTATGCATTACTAGGACCTCTGATACGGGCTGTTAAGTCCCTATATGACCGATGTCAGAGTTTGGTCTGCATTGCCGGCAGAAAGTCGGGCTTGTTCCCAACTTACTGCTGGAAAACTTTGACACCAATCATACAGGGAACAGCCCGTATCAGAGGTCCTAGTACCCCATACTCCTGATGTACCACCCCACAGGGCCTCAAGAGGGACACAGGGCATCTGATACAGGCTGTTAGGTCCCTGTATGACTGGTTTCAAGAGTTTGGTTTGCATTGCCAGCAGTAAGTCGGGTTCATTCCTGGTGAGAATTGAACTAGATTTAATTAGATGGGGGAGATATACTGCTCCTCCACATCAACGTTAAAGTTTAAGTCCAATTAATTCATCACACACTGGTGAAATTCATCTCTGCATTCAGCCCATCCCCGTGGGGAGCGGTGAGTTACAGCGGTGGCCGCATTCAGGAACTATTTGGTGGTTTAAGACCCCAATCCGACCCCTTAAAACTGAGTGTCAAACAGGGAGACATTGGGTCCCATTGTTAAAGTCTTTGGTATGACCCTACTGGGATTTTAAACCCTCATCTCACAGTCTCAGGGCAGACACTCCACCACTAGGCCACTGAGAAGAGGAGCCAGTTGAGGTGGCTCAGGCATCTGGTTAGGGTGCCTGCTGGACGCTTCCCTGGCCAGGTTTTCCAGGCACGTCCAACTGGGAGGAAATCCAAGGGAAGATCCAGGATACGCTGGAGAGACTATGTTTATTGGCTGGCCATGGAACGCCTTAGGATTCCCCCAGAGGGTCTGGCTCAAGTGGCTGGAAAGAGAGAAGTCTGGGCCTTCCTGCTTAGGCTGCAGCCCCTGTGACCCAACCCCGGAAAAGCGGACGAAAATGAATGGATGGATTGTTATAAATGTGTTAAAAACTAGTTATTCGAGTAAATTTTTGTTATTTAGAATTATTTAGTTTTGAAAATTCTGCAACAGTAAGGATAAGATCCTTTGCTGCTATAAAACAAGTATCCTATCTGAATGGAAGTTTTTAGGACTAATACAGATCAAATATAATTTGATACAATTACAATTTTAATGTGTTTTTCTGACCATTAGTTCTCATAAAAAAGTGGGTTTATGCTATTAGCAGATATGCATGTAATTTTTTTGTAATAAAAAGGTGAAATATTATGCAAAATCCACCTTTTGAATTATTTTGTGCTGCCATGCAGGTCTTTATACTGCCTATATATAAACACTCTATAAATACTCCAAACTTGAAGAAAAACCTGTACATGTGTTTTTTGCAAAATTCTTGTTTTAGAAATGATGTGCCTAAAATAAGCCGTTTCAAAGATTCCCTGTCTGTGATGTCACAAACAGGGAAATTAGAATAGAATTACTTCTCCTGCACAAGAAAGAGCTGCTGCTGAAGGAGCAGTGTCTACTACGAGCCCCTCCCAGATATAGGAGTCTCTTGGTTTATAGCAGCCCAAGTAGAGGGTGGGTGTGTGTGGCCAGACTCAGCTTGTTTTCTTAAAGTGACAGAGCCCTGAAACAGCTCATTGTGGAAGCACTGAAACTGCTGAATTCACTTTATGTGAGATGGATTTCATGCAATTAACATCTTGAACATGCTTTGAGACCATATAACAAAGAAACTAAGCTAAACCTTTGTGCTGTGTCTCCAGGAATGACCTGCCAGGCCCGAAGCTCCTATGTCAGCAGTGAGATCAAGTGGGGCTATCGCTTCATGCCTGTCCTGACTCTGGAGGACGGTTTCTATGAGGTGGACTACAACAGTTTCCATGAAATCTATGAGACGAACACACCAAACTGCAGTGCCAAAGAGCTCGCTGACATGACCAGCCGCGCACGTTTACCCCTCACCTGGTCTCTGGCCAGCAAGCTGAGCCAGCAGGGGCTGCCAGAGTCCGAACAGGAGGGCCAGGAGGCCAAAACCAGCCTGGAGAAGGACGAAGAGAGGAGCCAGACCACTGAAAGGAACGGGGACATTGCCAACCTGGAGAGTGAGTCCAAAGTGTAACGAGGGAGACTACTTTCACCTGGACTCAGTAATCCTGTAGAACAACTACATGTGGACCCACCGCTGGACTGGAAACCCTCTGCATGGTTCAGATATGAAGTAATGTCCTCCTGAAAAGAGTCCTATTATTTTTTCTATTAAGATATTCTAAGGGGCATTTGCATAAGTATTTTTGTACATAATACAGTTTTGACTGATCTGTTTTGTTGCAGTGTGAATATTTAAATGATGTTTGATACTAACACCTTTAGGTTAGTTCTGTACATAATCTATGCCTTACTCCATGTACAAAACTTTGTTTTCAGAACTATATCTAAGCATGTATAAACGTTATCTGCTGTTCATTTATCTTGTATTCTGTACATACTGTATGACAACGATGTAAGAAAAACGTATGTTTCAATGGATGCAAACTCTAGTTTAAACCAATGACTAATTCTTCCCCGGATGACAAGTGTGTGTTTATGGTAGTTACCACGCCAAGCCATGACACGCTGTTTACAGCTGACCCGCTTCACACAACGGCCCTTTAAAAACTGCATTTTGTCACTTTTTTGCACACTGGAGATTTCTCACCTGGTGGAGGATGTTAGTTGAATTTTCAGTCTCCAGAAATCCCTCACATGTCACCTAAATTCATCAAATAAAGAGTAAGATGCTAATTATGCACCTGATGTATTCTGTCTGTTTTTATTTAAAAGGTTTCTGATATGATAGCTGGGATCTTTTGAAGTCTCACTTGTTGTAGATGGCTCTTTGACCAGCCTCAGTCTGGAGAAAAAGAGATTGCTTGATAAGCTGACTGCCAGTCCAAGATCAGAGCAGACTGTTGTTTTGTAAAAAACCTAAGTTTTCATAACAGCTCATAAGAACAGCATAGTAGAAAAGTTTGTCTTGGTAGCGCTGTTGCCTCGATTCCTGTTGGTATATTATATCTGTGGGGAGTTTGTTTCTTCCCACAGACCAAAACATGCAAGTTAGATTAATTAGAGACTCTAGGTCCCTAGGTGAAACTGTTTGTTTCCTTTTGATGGATTGTCCAGGGCATCCCCTGCCTCTCGCCCGATGACGGCTGGAAGTCGCCAGCTCACTGTGACCCTAGTGAGGAAAAGCAGATCAGAATATCTACTGTATCTACTAGCTCAGCGGCAGTTCTGCATTTTTCCACATGGAGGTTGCAAAAAGGGGGCAAATGATATAGGTGGGTGCCAGTGCTGGATCTCCTCATTAATGAATGGGAAAATCCTCAATATGTTAATGGAGTCAACAAAATATCCCCAGACATCATGTATGTCGTTTTTTTTCTTCATAGAAAGACAGTTTTAGGCTTAAAGTAACACTAAATTGTTTTTTAAGCTTTAGCATTGATCTTGGTGATTATTGAGTTAGAAACTTGACCAGTTTCATATTTGACACCAATCTGCAGCCCTCTACTGGCCAGATACTGCATTTAACATTTTTGTGGAGCGGGTAGGTGCTCTATAGAGGTCACTCTTTACACGCTTATTGTTTGTAAAAAGCACGAGAAGAAGAAAAAGAAGTCTGTTTCTCTGTTGGCATCAGGGCGAAGCCTGGAAGTAAAAGAAAGAGAGTAAAGTTTTTTAAGGAAAAGCAGAGAGCTAAAACCAGAGTGAACATTGCACAGCCTACGCTGGTTTGAGGAAGCTAAAGGAGGCCACAAAATCACGGACTGATGGTGACCTGGCTTTGTTGCTACTGGACTTGTATGTAATACTATTCAGTGTTTCCCCTAGGAATTTTTCCAGCTGTGTGTGTGTGTGTGGGGGGGGGGGGGGGGGGGGCTTGGGGAGAAATTATGACACATCTCCAAATAAAGTAAAATTTTCTAGCGCAGAGAGGAGACAACCCATAGAAGCACTGATTTTATCTCATTTCAGAGAAAAATGGAACAGGTTAGATGCACCTAATAAATAAAATTACTAAAAAACTCAGGAATCTGTTTCTTTGCTTCACTGTTCTGGTGCTGAGAATATTACTAATGCGGATCAAAGGAGATACACAGATGAATGCACCTCTTATTTATTATATGGAAACTGCAGCTGGCAGAGGCTGAGATTTTTTTACTATTGATACACGGAATTTACAGAATCATTTTAAATTTTAATAGGGGAAGACTGCAGGAGGGAGCGGTAAAATACAGGGAGTCCCCAGCAAAAACAAGAAACTTTACGAGTCTGATGAAACCCACTGGTTTTCCATCAGGCAGTCACGGGGCAGCTCCAACGACCCAGTGGCTGTGCTGGGTCAATGTTATCGAGCTCAGCTCAGTCCGGCTCTGCAGAGGGTGAACAAGCTGAGGCGACGTCGCGCTCTGTTATTTTCCGGCTTCAGAAGAAGCGTCCAACGTGTTTTCACGCTTTCTCCGAGACTTGTCACGTCGCTAAGTTGTTAGCGCCGCGCGCTAACACGTCAATAGTGCAGCGTAGCCTGCTGGAGGTTTTAAGGGTTCAGATGAAAACACCCAACCTCTCAGGCTGCTCACACATCTATCTTAAGTTGTCGCTGTTGCGCTCACGCCGTAATACAGTATTAGATGCGGTTAAAGTCAGACACGAAAAAATAAATAAATTTTACATAAATAAGTTATGCTTAGCCTGGTGGGAGGAGGAAAACCTGGCCTAATAAGCACTGGAGGAAACCCTGTCAAGATCGTCAACACTCGTTTATCTTAATGCTATTGAAACATGTAAACCACAAAGCATTATATCCACTGCTACCTTTCTAATTTTAAACTCAGTAACTTATGCTGTAACTTCACCTTGCCCTGCCTGCTCCTCCTTGCTGCCTACCGGCTGTGATCACAAGCGACAACATAGTAGTTCCCGCTGCTTCTTCGAGAAACAGCGCCAAAAAAAAAAACTTGGGATCTTGTAGGCGTGGCGGGCTGCCACGGCTATGCCTATGTAAGGGAAACCCTGCTATTTTTCAGACAACAGTGTGGATCTTTTACTTCATAGTTTATTTTAGTATTAATGTTAGTGCTAGCTTGTTGTTAGCACTAGCTACAGCAGGCTGCAGCAGGGTTGTTTACAACTGTTCTAATTCCACTTTCACCTAGTAGGGCGGAGGAGCAGGAAACTGCTCACTAGGACTTCATGAAGTAAAACAAATGCTACACCAAAGAAAAACAGAGGAAAACAAATTCAGAAAACTTAAATGGCTGTACAGGGCTGAACCCGGCCATCACTTTTAGGAGTGATAAGTAAAGGCTCTACAGAAGGGGGCAGTGCCCCTTTGCCTCCTGGTAGAGCTGCCCCTGGTTAGCTACTGTGGATCTCTAGGTAAATAACACCACATTTTTCCTTTTAAACATCAAAATAAACTGAACAAGAGATATTTTAAAAGTCATGATGTTGCACGTAAAGGCGGGAAGTAAAATTATTTGGAAACAAATACAGAGAACATGTCGACTCCAAACTGACTGAGTGGAATTAGAGGAGAACCCAGGTTTGTTCTTAATAAACTGCAACATGCAGTGTGGAGAGGGGAAAGCCAACACAACTGCAAGGAGACAGCTCTGATTTAAGCAGCTGGTCAGGCTTTAGTAGACTCCTAGTGTCCTTAACTGTTTCCACACGCTAAGCTGTGACATGCACTGCAAACATATGGCTGCTTCACTTATTCCAGACCATTTAAATATGCCTCAGATCATTCTAGATCTAAATCTAAAAAAAAACACACACATTCACACACACATCTTTGCTTTTTATTTGTCAGACTTTATTTTGAAGTACAGTTTTTCTGAGAAGAATAGATACCACCTACACAGGTGAAGCTGCTCAGGCAACAAGCACGTGTGGCAGGGTCAGAGGTCACAATGGACAGAACAAAGGCTGTATGTGAGATATATTCAAATAAAGTGAAATTAGATAAAATAAGGCCCAAACAAACAAAAATCAGCAGCATATATATAACTGAACAGCAGCTGAAGCAGAACTCGGATTTCTGCTCAAAAAGAAAATCAAATCTGGCAAAATGATGATCTGGAAAAGCATCTTTATTTCATCAAGGCATTCATACAGTCTTGTTATATTTACAATGATCCACCAACTCATTTTATATCATACAGCTAAAAATCAAACTGTTACATTTGACCTGCTTTTAAAAACTACAGTCTGTGCCATAATCCTTTTTTTATTATTATTATTATTTTTTTTTTTTTGCTTTTCACATCTCATGAGATCCATAAAACCGGTTTCTAAACCAGACAAAAACTTTAGATTTTCGGTCAAATTAAGTAAAATGGAGGAAAATTGAAATGAACGGGGGCACAAATAAATAAAAACATTTAAAATTCCTTTACATTTAATCAAAAGTGATTTAAATAATCCAGATTATTAAATATGTTGTATTAATCTGAAAATAACTGAAATCATAGTCAAAGACTTTCATGTTCCTTAACTGAACGTAAAACAGAAAAATCAGCTGAACTGAAAATACAAACATTTATAAACCTACATATTATTATTATTATTATTATTATTATTATTTCATAATAAGGCATTAAAGAAGAAACAATTTGAGATAATGTTTGGAGATTTTCTGCAACTTGTTGCAGCTAAGTTTCTGTTGTGCACATAATTCAACAAAAAACTACATACAATGAGAAACAAGATCACAAAAAATAAAAACTCTTATCTTCAGTCAGTACCTTTAACATAGCTGCGATTTTGAGCCACAGATGCTAACTTACAGCTTTAAGACTTTAACAGTAATGGCCTCTTCCCTATTTTGCAGGATTAGATGATAAAGATGGTTTAAAACAGAATGAACATTTAAAAACAACAGCTTATTATTTTTCTGTTGCTGAAGCTGCCTGATTATTTTAGAACCAGCCAGCAGCTTTTTAGCTAATGCTGCACACATTAGCAGAAATGAACATGACAGAACTTACTGGTCTAAAGTGAAATGATCTGGGTTAAATGTAAGCGTTAGCTTGATTCTAAGGTGCTGATGAGGAGATTTGTGACCCTTGTATGAATGTTTAAAAAGTTGGAGTGTTTTCCTGCTTCGATCGTTTCGGTTAGTCAGCAAACACCTGGGGTTTGATGGGTGATGGCAGGTTATCGTTGTCCGTGTTGGCATCAATAGCAGAAACTTTGGAGATGATCTCCAGCGGATATTTCTCTAATATGTTGTGCACCTCCTGCTGCACACTGTCCGACCAGGTGAGGAGATCGGCCTGGAGGCTTTGAGCGGCCTCCATCACGGCCTCCTGGCGGGTGCAGAGTCCCGTCAGCAGCTCCAGGTTGTGATTGAGTTGGACCAGGACGGGGTTGGTGACAGTGGTGCCGAGCCCCGACTCGGAGCAGGGCCAGTCGCTGTCTGAGCTGCTGAATCGCGGCGAAGTTTGACCGGACATGAAGCGCTCAAACTCCTCTGGGGAGAGGTTAAGAGACTGAGCGTTGAGCTTCTCAATGAAGGCCACTGCACAGCACTAGAGGAGAAATGCAAATAAGCATCAGAATCGTTTGAGGTTCCAACTGAAGCTGATGAGAATGAAAGGACAGACCAGATTTGTGAAGTAGTATCCATCCTCTCCAGTCATTAGCCTGCTGGGGTTACAGAACCTGGTGATGTACTGAATGTTGGACTGGAGCCGCGGAGGGTTGGCTTTGAGGACGATGTAAATGAGTGCAGGGAGGAAATCATCGGCGGATGCCGGCTCATTCTTGGTGATCCTAATGGCGCTGAAGATGTGTTTGCTGCAGCGGGTGATGCAAGCAAGCTTGTCCCGAGGAACTCTCTTGGAGTCCATCTCAATGATGTCTGGACACGAAGAGAGCATTGTTTCCTTTGAACTTGTTTTACCCCCACATGTAGACAGAAGTCACGACCCTGCGTGTTGAATCACGTCCTCACCTGTTATTGCTTTGACCACATTCTCAGAGACTTCAGGGATGTCTTCTTCCATGGACACACAGAGCATCTGGATGGTGACCCAGTGCAAAGCCCTGCAACACAAGTGATCAATGTTCATGAGGAGTAAGCATGAATGTTGATTTTTATCTATTTATCTGAATAAGACATGTGCATACACGTTTGTCACAGTAGTTTCCCTTGTGAGCCACAATCAGGCTGCAGCTGCAGCCGTTCGCTCATACGGAACAATAAAAGCTAAAAATGGCTGTTGCGTAATCAGCCTCACCTTATCCTGTCCTGTGTTGCCAAGTCCTTCTTCTCATCATCGGTTGTCTCTGGACAGAAAACGCTCTTATACAGACGCGTCATGATGTACTTTTCCACTTGGTCCATCACCTGCTCCACCGATTCTGAAGAGCCTGGAGAAAACACCAATTAGATGTTGATGGTGCTGCCATCTTGTGGCTGTTCCTGCACACACAGCTTGATGGTGGTAAATATAATTTCTATTTCTGTAACTTTTAGAGCTAACCTTTGAAGTGGCTTATCAGGCGGTCGGCCAAGTTCTGGTAGAAGTCCTGAACACACTCAGACAGCTCATCAGCGCCCAGGTCCTGTCGGAACAAGAACGTTTCTTTATTTTGATAAGAAATGCTGACCGTGATCGTTTCCGGAGGACAACACACCTTCTTACTCGACATGTTCAAGAGGAAAGCTCTGCACTGCTTGTAGGTCTCCCGGCCGGGCTTGTGGAGGTTCTTCAAGAAGTCCACAAACTCTTTCGACACTTGATCGGTATCAAAGCTAGCATGACGGCTAATAGACGGACTTGGTGCTTTAACTTCCTGGATTTCTAATCAGAGAGAACCACACAGCAAAGGTTTAGGCTACCTTCCATGTTTAGCTGCTTTAATCAGACCGAGCTGTGTGTGACACCTTTTTTAGAGGTAGTTCGCGATGAAGGGCTAAAGAACTTCTTAACTGTGGTCACTTTGCGCGTCTTCTCGTTGGTTTTCTTTTCCTCGAACTTGGAGAAGTGGCCGACAGAAGCGTGCTGCGCCGCAGTAGATTGGGAATGCGCACTGTGACTGCTGGCGTACGCTGCTGCCTCTTCCTCTCGCTGCAACCTGGAGCCAAGAAAAAGTTGATGCAATATGTCAACTACCAGGCAATTTTTAATTAATTCAGCTGAAGTAAAGAGGAAAAACCCAGCTAAATGTATTTGTCCTTTGGGCTGTTTTAATGAGGCTGCAGCTGGGTGTTGTTTTGGAGTCCAATTAAGGTCTCACTTCTCTGCCAAGGCCCAGTCATCCTGGATCTGCTTCTGCCGCACCCGCTGGTACTCCTCTCTCCAGCACTTTGAGCACAGGCCCTGCCATGCTGCGTTTCCATAGTAACCACATCCCTTTTTGCAGAGTAGGTCTGATTGGTCCACATGGATGCCCCGTCGCTCGGTCCGCTGACTCATAATGCTGGATGACCTGGAATAAAAAATTCAATATTGGGTTTATTAGTGTTTTGTGCACAGCGCTGATCAGGCTGATCTCTCTGATGCTGCCTGTTTGTGTCACGCTGACATGGATGGATTAGTCAGCCTGCACACAACACACACCTCACACAAGGAAAAGCTTCCATGATGTATCCATCAGATGAAGAGGCTTAGAAAAAAACGAGTCTAGCCTGCTTTCTTATTATGATATATTCTGGAAATGATTTATAACCCTATCTATATGTCTATAAGGTTGTTTGCTAACAGCTGTTTAGCTCTTTTATGGTAGATTGAAAGGAACCTTAGTGCACAGATTCAGTGACATCTAGCGGTGTCTTTGCAGCTTCTCTTCAGGTGGCTGCAAAGAATCATTTGAAAAAATGTCCAAAATTCAGAGCTACACTCAACAATTGGTTTCATTCCTGAAGTTTGAAAGAGAAAATAACTCCTCGTTTTTTTCAGGAAACAATGCATCTGAGAAGAAATAAAAATATATTTGAGAAACCCCATGAATGACAAATTGATGCTTCCTTCATAGACTTAAAAACATTCCAGAAACAATAAAAAGATTAATAATTTATCACTTTGGTTTGTTGTTTATTTTTGTTTATTTGACTTGATCTGGACAACATTCACTCACTCTCCAACTATATACATCTTTGTGTGACTTTAAAGGGACTTAACGGACTTTTGAATTTTTATGCTTGCGATTGCCCCCTCAGGCCAAAAGTGTAACGGCAGCTTCAATAGTAGGCTCGTGCACGAGGTGCGCATGCTGTACGTGCACACTCCTTTACGAAAATAACAGCTGAGACAGTCCCTTGTGTGTGTGTGGCCCAGAGGACTGAGGATAGGAGAACGTGCAGCTAATTAATTAATTAATTTGGTTCTGTACCTTTCTCTTCAGCACAGCCGACAAAGGTTTAAGATGGGTCAGTCCTCCTGCATGCTCAGATCATTCCCTTCCCTTGCTTGAAAAATTGTTCCAAAATGAAAGTTGAACCCACATCTTTTTTATCTGTGAATTCAATGCCGTTCGGCGAGTCTCAAAAAAATTTTTGGGCATCTTACTGTAAAAAAAATATACCATTAATGTAAAAAAGAAACGCTAAAAAAACTGTGTTCTCACCCAGAATCAAACCCAGGTCTTCTGCATGGGAGTCAGACGTCTTACAAGGTGAGCTACACTCTAGTAACATTCACAGTATCTGTAACTTTTATATCCTTGATGACACCTGAAACAACATCACACCAAAGAAGGTTCGGAGTGAAAATGGCTATTTCGTTGCTAATTTGCAGGAAATATCTAGAAGAAAGTAGCTAAGGGTCCTCAGAAACGTAGCTAGGTTCATCACTAGGCGTTAGGAACAGCAACAAAGTCGCTGAGTTGGCACTACCTCTCTCTCTGCTGCTAAATCTACGGATAGCAAATGCTACAGGCTATGCCTGAGCGTGAACGCGCATGAAGCAGCCTGCTCGACCCGAGCAACTCTCTTTTTCTGTGATTTTACAGAAAAACAGGCAATCACAGTAAAAATGCCAGGGCTCGTTCTACAGGACCAGGGCATTGCAGGAGAATGTATGAAGAAGAAATTTATTATTTCTATACATGTTTTGGCTGTCAAACTTCCATAATGCCCCTTTAAAAATGGCAGAGAAATAACATTTCTAAATATAATGTAATCAGAGGACTTTTCATGCTAAAAATGAGAGAATCACCAGAGTCTGCAGCTTTGGGACAGCTATTCAGACAAAAAACACTCACAGTCACAACTCAGCATTATGTTTAACAACAGTAGGGAGATGTTTGAAAACAAACAACCTACAAATAGAAGTTCGACAGAAAAGAAATAACTTTTTTGTCTGCTAATAAATATGGCCTCGTTTTGGAGTTAGTAGGAAAAAAAGCTAAAAGACATTTAAGACAAACAAAACACAAAGAATAAATAAATGACTTCTTGGCAGATCTTGAACCTGTGTCATAATTATGTAATAATTTAGTTTTAGACTATAAACATTAGGGTTGGGTTTTAAGGAGATATATTATTGGTCGACCTCAAAACATTCCTAACCAACTACCGGTACTCAGAGCGTGTTGAAACTAATGCCTGTTTCATGCCATCGATGACAAGTTGTAGGGAAAGACTTTTTCATACACGCCTTTGTTTTCTTGCTTAAATATAATCAAATACAAAAGTATTTTGTATGATTTAATCTCTTTTTAGAACATGTGTATTGTAATTGTGTTTCAGTATGAGGTGTCAATAAAGTTTTATTTAAAGTACTCTCGTTTTCAGTGCACCAAAACAGTAAAATAACATTCTTATTTAACAACAATCTTCATTAATTTAAGAAACATTGTTTTTGAGCGCCACAGTCACGTATTTTAAGTCAATACAAAATATTTTTCATATTTTGTGAAATAATGTGCTATCTGCTGGCTATAAAAGTAACCTAATGTGACTCCAACTCGTTAGTT